ATTTTAACGTCAAATAGAATCAATTTTAAAGAGAAAATCAATTCTACTTTTAACAAACCAAGCATCTCAAGATAGTCCGAATAAATTTTACATCTCTAAAATTAATTCTAAATATTGTAGAAGTGAAACCAAACATATATTAAATCTATTTATGTAATCATTAATAAATTTACTAAATTTTGTTTGTATTTGATCTAAATCTATGATGTTAGCCTTCGTTTCTCCTTAAAGAATTGTTAGTGAACTACATGAATGAACAAGTCTTCACACTCAAATTGGTATGGTTTTAGTGAAAACAGGTATTAGTCCCTTTTGGACAATTCAATTTGCAATACATTAATTGTGAATCTAGATTTGAAATAAAGTTTAGGGCGTATTTGTTTTAGTTTTAAAAAAATAAACAATTTCTTTTATATTTTTAAAGTTTATGATTTGGATTGGTTTAATGTTTACTCTGTCATTAGAAATGTCTAATCTAATATCTTTGCATAAGGTCTAAAAACAAACAGTTTAAATTGAAGATTGTTGGACAACTCTCCATATCTCCGCTGAAGAACGTGACCTACGTATCCACGTCATCGTCATCATAAATACATTTTTAATTTCTAGTTAACATTTTAAACCATTGACCCCTATTACAAAATCATGATCTCTCATTTATACTTCTTTTGAAAATTTGTTGGTCCTCTTCGATATTTACATAGGTGGTAGTAATAACTAGAATAAGAAATATTATTTTTATAATGACTAGGATATTTTGTTAATTAATTTATTTTTAACTAAATTAATTAATTTTGATTAAAATTCCCATTGGGTTGTATCATTAGCCTAATAAAAAAATAATACAATTGGGCTAATAAACAAATAATACAATTGGTTATGAATAGTTGAGTTATATAAACACATATATTTTGTTAAACTGAGACATGAATAATAAACAAATCCAGCAAACTATTTACCCAGTGCATGTAATACCCCATGCTTCTCTTCTTCTATGTTAGTTTGTTGGTGCTGTCAAAAAAAATGGCAAAAGTTATAAACCTCATAAAGATCTGGAAACATGGAGAAAATTGTCAGGCAAATTCAGCATTGGAAACACAATTAGAATTGCTTCAGGTACAGGAAGTTTAGTTTCCACTTCTGTAGAAAATTTAATTCATCACATTTTGTTAATTTAACAATTCAAACAATTTTTCCAGTTTCACACATGAGAGTATAAACATTTATAAGTTGCTTTATGTTTTACCTATATTGAAATAAAAAACTTCAGCTAATAGACAAAACTCATACTATTAAAGCAAAAATCTAACACAATAAGATGCTTACATTGGTTCCACTTATTTAAGGTATAGCTATAGTTGGAATCAAAACAATCAACTGCATTTTAGTAACAAATCAAATTAAAATGTCATTAGTTATAAGCAAGAAAGTTTAATGAAAAAACACATTTGAATAGTTTGTTTCATGAAGACAATCTTCCAAAAACAAATGTTGCAGGTTTAGACTGAGAGTTTAAGTGTGAATCTCAAAGAAACTTATTCTTTTTTAAGATAGAATTCAAGTATTGAGATATCAAAATATAGAAATATAGAGTTAAAATATAGATAGAGTTCAACCATTAAGAAGAAACAAGTTGATATACTGAAAGAAGAAATATGTTTTTCATAGAAAGTTAGTCCCACATTGTTTTTTGAAAAAAGTTGATTAGTGCATATATATATATATATATATATATATATATATATATATATAGCTCACACATCTTTTCAAAACTAACTTATTCTTTGACTTCAAAAAGGATGAATCTATGTGGACTTTGGTCCAAAAGATTTATTTTAAATTTTTTTTATTAATTAAATTTCTAATAATTTACTAAAAAACTTTGATTGAAAAATTAAAATTAAAATGATTAATTAATTTTTTTAAAAATAAAGATCCCACTCATTAATTTGAAGTCACTAAAAATATATTTTATTTTAATCATCACTGCTATGTATGTAAAAGTGGAGAGAAGAGAAATAAAATTGAGGGACTGAAATAGTTGATTTTGTAAAAGAAGACCGATGATTTAAAATTTAAGAGATAAAATTGAAGGATTGAAATAGTCGATTTTGTAATAAGAAGACCGATAATTTAAAATGGTGATCAAAAATGCATTTCAATATATTTTTAAAAATGAATTTTATAAAATTGTTTTATAAAATACTATAAAAAAATTTATATTCGCTTTTTTTTTTTTAAATTGAAAGATTAATTTTAACATCTTATAACATAAATATATAATATTGAAAATCGAAATATTATTGAAATCATAGTTTTTTCAAAAAAATTATTTTAAAAATTATTTTTATGAAAATTTATTTGAAATAGTTTGATTTTTTGAATTTTTTTATATTTAAAAATATTTCAATAAGAAAATAAAATATTTAAAATTACATTTTAAAAATAATTATTTAAATTAAATTTTCATTCGAATCTTTTATGAAAATAAATTTTATAAATTTTTTTTACATAAAATTATATTATATTATAAAAATCATTTTAAAAAAAAAGCAAAACAAACAGCCTCTTGTTCGCATACCCCCGATGTTGAACGTGTTTGTTTAAAACTCTTCCTCCAACTTCTTCATAATTTGAACACTATATTCAAGTTCTAATAAATAAATGAAATCTCATATAGGATAATTATATTTTACGGAAGGGGGTGTTTCTGTCTTTTCAAATAAACTACGTAACGATTTTCTTCAACAAACTCGCTTCTCCAGTCCAATAAGAGAACGCCACGTTAAACATTTCATCTCCCGCCAAATCCAAACGTTCAACAATGGCGTCGTTTCTCTTTCTCCTCTCGTCTCTGTTTATCTTCTTCTTCTCTCTCGCCGGCGCTATTCCGAGCGAAGCCATATACGACTCCGCCGATATTCTCACCGATGCCGGTTACGTCTCCATGTCGCTCACTCTCGAAATCATCGCTGAATCAATTCTTGAACAGTCACCTTCCGCCACCGTCTTCGCTCCCTCCGACTCCGCTTTCAAGAAATCCGGTCAGCCGTCACTCGACCTACTGCGGTACCACTTAGTTATGCTGCCGCTGCCGATTCAGAGCTTCCGGCGACTTCCTGCTGGTGCGAAGCTTCCGACTATGCTCCCCGGTCAGTCTCTCACCGTCACTACATCAACCTCCGATAACGCTATCTCGCTTAACAATATCAAAATCAATGAATTACCGATCTACGATGACGGAGTTCTCTTGGTTTATGGTATCGATAGGTTCTTCGATCCTAGTTTCCAGTATCAGAGACCTAATTCAAATTCGAATCTGAATCCATCGTGTTCAGCGGTTAATCGCACTGTGAACTCCTCCGATTCGTTCGATCAAGCGATTCAGATGCTGAAAACTAGCGGATACTCAGCTATGGCGTCTTTTCTCGGAATGCAGCTCTCCGGTGATATAAGCCAGAACGGAATCACGGTGTTTGCTCCGGCGGATGAGAATGTGATAAACCGTTTAGGTGTTTTCGATGACTATCCTTCATTTTTCCGTCGCCACGTGGTGCCTTGCAAGTTTCTGTGGAACGAGCTGGTTGATTTTGTTGACGGTACTGAGTTGCCGACGTTTTTGGAAGGGTTTACTATCAACATTACAAGATCTGGTGGCGTTTTGATTCTTAACGGCGTGCCGGTTTACTTTCCGGATGTGTTCTTCAATGATAGGGTTGTTGTTCATGGTGTTAGTGATGTTCTTGCTGTGCCGGAGGATGCTGTTAGTGCTCTTGAGGATGTTGATTCGTTCTCTGATGATGAGCAGAACTTGTTTGATCCTGGTGAATTTTGAAGTTACTTTCGTTTTTCAATTACTGTATATGTCTATGCTATGATCAACATGGTGATTTCTTTTGAAATATTTCTTTGATTGTTCAGATTTACCTTATTGAAATGAATAATATGATTCAAAGTTGAACACTCTAGATTGCAATTTCTGATTATTTTTTCTATTACTTTCAGTGATTATTGTTTTTCTAAGATTAGATTTAACATTATTCACACATGAAAATGCACCATGTGAATGATTAATTAGAGATAACAAATAGCAGGAGTTCAAATTAATTGATATTGGTGTTACTTTGTCTTAACCAAGTTCTGGTCTTCAAAAAATAATTGGCCTAAACTTGTTCCCACATTATCAATTTCATGCCCATATTCATTTTGTGATAAGTTTTGAATAAAGTTTTGAATAAGTTTTGAACCCTTCTTTACATTCATTTGTTTATGCTAATGAATGCAAAACCTTTCAATGCCTCTTGAAGAAAAATAGGTTGAGTTGATAACTTATATATAGAGTTGATAACTTATAATCTCATCGACGACGCTTCTCGAGAAAAAAAACGTGTCAGTATTTGACACCGACAGTTGTGATATTCAATTTTTTCTTTTTTTTCAAACTATGGTGTCGAAACTATTGCCGGTGTCGAAACTATAAGTGTCTATTCTTTATAACTTGTAATTCTAAAAAATCTGTATACTTAGATGCCCACTTTTCAGTTCTAGTACTATTTAAAATGAAGTCTATTTTTGAATGTCTATTTTCTTTTGGCTTTTTTGTTTCACAGCATTCACTTTTACACCCATCTCTTCCCCCATAGCTTTTCTCTTCTATATCTTAGTGTAAACAAATGTGAAGAAAACTGGCTTTTTTGTTTCACAGCATTCACTTTTACACCCATCTCTTCCCTCATAGTTTTTCTTTTCTATATCTTAGTGTAAAAGAATATGAAGAAAACATTACTTATTTATCTATTTTTTTCTGGCAATTTAGAAACAAAAATTACAGGTATTACGTATATATGAACAAAATATGTATAGTACACTAGCTTTGCTAGCTATTGTCTTTGAACTCGGGCGCCAGCTTCGCTCCGCCTTTGTTTCTTACACTTTAGTATAGAGTTCAGTAATACAACAATGGCTTGCTTCTTTTATCAACAACTTTTCTATTTTACAAACTAGACTACACTACTTGCATTTGCATTTGGCAATGCTAAAACTCTGCTGTTGTGGTTCATGTTAAATTTGTTCTTTATTTTTTCTAAGGATAGCGTCGCAAACACTTCTCCCCTTTGGGGGCGGTTTGCATAGAGTATCCATAGAACAAGGCAGAGCAGAACACCAACTGAAATGAGTCCCAGTCCTACATTAATAACCTTAAGGTAATGAATTAATGGAGGACAGTAACTTGAAGTGATTCCAGTGAATGCATCCCTGACAAAATTGCAATTCTGAAGGCTAAGTAAAAGTGGTGCATAATGTTCTAACGCGTAGCTTTCGTTAGCTGCAGCTGCTAACTGTGAGTAAATCTCTGGGGTCACCCTGCCAACTGTAGTGCATATACCCGATTCAGATACCTCGCATACATAGTTCTTCCAAACCTGAAATATTTTAACAAACAGATTTAATGATATCATCTGTTATATATCATTTGCAGACAGAGATAGTGATACATAATACAAAAACTTAGAACAATCCAAGATCAAAATTTAGAGATTATTCTTTGCATGTGTTGATTCTTTTTATTCAGCTAGCTGAATAACAAATCATTGAAATAGTTGGAAACTTTCTATTATGTTTCAAGTTGTAGCCATTTAGTATAATCATGTATGTACAGAAAGACCAGCTAGTCCAGGTTTCAAATACCAGTAGGTCATGTCTAACAGTAGGTCCAATAAAAGATAAGAAACTTAGAGCCGAATGACTAGGCTCATTCGGATTAGATGGCTGTATATAAGTTATAACCCATTTTGAATGTGGTGGAAGGAAGGGCCTTATTAAGATCAATCAAGTCAACCACTCATAATAAAATACATAGAAACAAATGACTTGACATACAAATAAAGTGATGAAAATAATACCATTGAAGCATTATCAGAAGAAACTTCTCCATTTGTACATTGGCGTTCTCGAAGTTGATCGTCAAAGGGATAGCATAGCACCGGCATAAAAGGCCCAGACTGATTGTAAAAACCCGGATGACCTTGTGTTACATTCACGTTTGCAGTGGTATAGATGGCCGTATTGACAATACTTGCAATATTGGTAACAACTTGTTTGCTTTGAATAAGTGTTTTGTTTGTGGTTCTCTGATCAACACACGGAAGGACGTTGCTAAGAGCAGATTCTCTGTGTGGATTTTCTACCCATTCTCCCATAGCCATGCATGTATCAGAAATTGTACTGCAATATAATTAATTTACTCATGTTATGTTATGTTGTTACTATTAGCTTTTTTTTTACTAGAAGACATAAATTTCCATAATATAAAGATCATTGGATTTCAGTTCAATATTATTGGCTCATGTCAGGTTTTGCTATGGATTAAGTTATAACTTTGAATTGAAATAACAAAGTAAATGGCTAGAAGGAGCCGAGAAAATGGATTCAATTAAACTGAAATCTGATGGTTATAATTACTTACTTGTTAAGGATCATGAACACTCCGCAAAGAATGAATGTGGTTGCAACCAGTAACCATCCAGTGACAACAAATCTGCAAAATAATTTGAAGTCAGACCGTAAAACATACAAAAGAGATCCTTCAGATAGCTAGGCATAGCATAACCAAACATGACTTACAAGAGGATTGCATGTTGATATCCAAGGAGCGACAAGACTGCCAAAAATAAAATAAATAAAAAGACGTCGTTATTAGCAAAAGTTTTCGGGTATAATATAAATATAAAATAAAATTAGGACAGTTTATTTAAGAGGTTGTCATGATAAAGACGTACCTAATCCGGTTAACGCCAAAACAAGAATCACTCCTGCCATAACAAACAACGCTGATCGCCTACAAATATTACAAGACTTTAGCATCATACTAGAATGGAATATTAAATTCTAGAATTACGAGGTTTCAGTTTTAAGATTGCATACACATAATTGAATACTCTTCTAATCTTAACAGAATTTTCATTTGTCTTCTCAGAAAGTGCATCTGCTGCAGTATTTAGATCCACGTTCAACTTATCAATATCATCAAGGATATCGGATGGAAGAATTATCTGATTGACACTGATAGTTTTTGCAAGGGAGAGATACTCCGTGACATTTCTTAGAGTCTGCACCGCATAGTCTGATTGATTGACAAAAAAATGGAGGGTATCCAAGGCCTCGCCGTGGAACTTATTCTGCCCAACAGAAAGGAGGATACATCCGGTCCTGCGTGGTTAAGAGAACGAGACATGTTATTGTGCCGCATGAAAACTGTTTCTCAAAATTCCAAATCAATTAACTTTTTTACAAGACTATCATGAAATCAAATGATTATATAACAAACTTTCTACATTTTTTAGAGAATGAAGTGTCCAAAGAAGAAGATAAGAAGGAGAACATTATATTAAAGTATAAAAGTCTTACGACGCAGCAAAGGTGAACACTAAAAGCAATATAAGACAAATCCTTTGCGAACGATTAGATTCTTTGTCGTTGATGTTAAACCCCCATCCACAACACAGATGAATCACAAGCGCCAAGCCAAATGAGATGAACCATAACATGGCAAGTACTAAACCTGTGGCACCAGTGAAGCCAACCGACTGCAAATATAATCCATGATTCAAATCAGAAAATACCAATCTTCTGAAAGGTATAACAACAAAATAATCGAACATCACACTTATTCATTAGTTTCCAAATTCATCATATTTTCACATCTCCTAGACATCCAAATCCAACATACACAAACAGATAAAACATATCGAGCGAGACCATTTGTCATTTTTTCAATTGAAAGCACAAAGATCTACGAAGCTCGACAAGTAATATAAAACAAAACATAATACTTGAACTTCATATCTCATAATAGAATTAGCATTAAGAACATACTAATAAACCATCCATCCATCCATTCCATGAACACGATGATAAACAAAAGAACTAAAGCACTTACAGCCCAATAATGCCGATTCGAAATATCCCAACCACCGCGATAACGATGAAATCCTCTAAGAATATCAGGCCTCTTAGTCCTATTTGCCGCCAGAATAAGAGTATTATCACCTCGAGGCCCCGGTGCCGGAGCCATTTCTGTAGCTTTGTTTTGCCATGAACCCAAGTTCACTTCTCCTCCACCTCCTGCAAAAGAAAAAGGCAGAATCCAAACAAATCAAACATCAAAACAAACGAACCAAAACCAGAATAACCTATCAAAAATTTCATCATAGCAATTATCAATAAAAAAAATCAGATTTTTATAGAAACCCAACAACAATTCTTCAAGATTTCAAAGATCTAAACATAACCCATCAAAAATAATCACAGATAATCACAAATAAGAATGAGAAACAGAACACAAACCTATAAAAAACTTGATGGGGTGGTTAACCGACCCAGATGAAGATAAAGCTGAAACCGAGCTCAAAGACAGTAAAAAACCCAAAAGTAGCATCCCATTGAAGGAAAAAGCCTTCATTGTAGTTTCCAGCAAAAAAGAAAACTCACTTCACCCGCGCCATTTTTGTACACTCTAAACAACACAATGAATCAACAATCTTTGAACTTTTTCTCTCTGATTTATTGAAGTTAGAAGAGAAGGAAAATAGTGTGAAAATGGAGAGAAAATGATGAATAAAGTCAGTCACATGGGTGAGGTGAAGTGTAGTGATGACGATCTAAGAAAACTAAAAACGCGGGTGTCATTTTAATTAGCACTAATCACGTTTCGTTTATACTTTAATTAGGTCCAATGAATTAACTTTTAGATTGTGTATTTGCTTTTTGATTATACGTGTGCCTCTTTTTTTTACTATATTTGTGTACTTTACTCATATTGCAATGCAAATGTTATTTTTATATACAAAGGGGAATTTTACTTTTATATATATATATAAAAGCTTAATTGATAAGAAATTGAGTCATATGGGACAATAATCAATAATTTATTTTTTTAATGTTGATTTCTTTAGTGAATAAATATGTTTGGTTATGGGGGTGATATAAATTAAATTTATGAATTTGATTTTGATTAAATTCAATATAGAATAATTTATAATTAAATATGTTTATGTAAAAGTAAAAATGGTTGAATAATAAATTAAATGAAAATAATATTTTTTATCTGCTTCATCATTTAGTCCATTAATTTTTCGGCAGTTTAATTAGTTTTAGCGAATACAAATGCATATAAAATATAGAATTTAATAAATCTATTTTTTAAAATAAATTTTAGAATTTAATCTATCAAAACTTTTTTGAATAAAAAAGTTATTTTCAGAAAGTAATAGTAGTAGTTAGTTTACCGACATTGACCCTTATGTGAGTGGTGAGAGAAAGTAAATTAGTGTGATTGGTTAAGTTACTCATTCCAGTTTTATTAATCTTTTTTAGTTGAAGTGACGCTATATGCAAATTAACTAGATATGTCTAAATACACTTGAAATCTTAAAATAGATAGTAGAGATTTTGTAAAGAGATTGATGTTCATTATTTAACTTAACTTAGCCATCATTTTGTTTTTATCATAAAGATGATGAGTTAATTGTCAAAAAGTAATACCACTACATCGAAAGCAGTGAAACAGGTGGGGCCCATGAAGTTGTCGGTCTGTACCGCGGAATTTCAGTGTGTGATGTCCTGCGCCATAGTATCTCACGGGAAGTTAATGTGTTTTTTTTTTATGAGTAGTGCTATGTTAAAAATTAATTAAAGAAATTTTTATTTTGGAAATTGTGTAATGAATTTATTATTAGATAAAATTTAAAGAAAAATGTCAATGAAAGTTTCGTTAGATAAAATTTAATGTTAACAAATTAACAAAAAAAATATAAATAAAAGCGGTAAAATATTTTTATAAATTTTTTAATAAACAAAACTATTGAGTTTATTGATAAATAATTTTAATTAATATTGCTTGTTGATTAATTGGTTTTGGAATATGAAAGATGTAAAAGAGGGTTTTCGTTTTTAATTACTATCACTCAATTCTAATTTTAGTCTCTTATTTTAGTTGATTTAAAAACTTAGTTATTTTGTTTTAAATTTAAATATATTTCATATTTAAATGATGTGTAATTTGTAAAATGGAACAAATAATTATATAAATTTTTGTGAAATTTTAAAGATCAAAATATAATATTATATGTGATTTAAAAATAATAGTTTTTTAAATTTTAAGTGAAAAAATGTGAGAGATGGGACAAAATTGTTTGAATTTAATTTCGTGAATCAATTGAAATTGGAAGACCAAAAACGAAATATAATAATAATAATAATAATAATAATAATAATAATAATAATAATAATAATAATAATAATAATAATAATAAATATTTAATTTAATATTAAGAGATATTTTAAGATACTCTAAATTAATATAAAAAATTATAAGATATTTATAATATTTTAATAAATAATATAATTAATAGAAAGTAAACAAAGTGGTTTCAATATTCGATTTTTTTTTATTAATAACCATGTATTAAAATAATATTTCGCAAATAACCGGGTTTCGGAAAAAATTACGCAAATAACCATGTTTCAGATGACTCTCCAAAGGAGGAGTCATCTCACTTGGCGCCTCCACCTAGGGTTTTGCCCTAGGCGCCATCTCACTTGGCGCCTCCCTTGGCTTTTAGCCAAGTTAGATGGGGCATGCTCCTTAAAAGTGAGAGGAGGCGCCATCTCACTTGACTCCTAGGGCAAAACTAGGGCAAAATGCTGTTTTATAAATAATTCGTCCGTTTCTCCGAAATTTCTCACACTTTCTCGCACTGTATTTTTATTTTGTACTCCGTTATTTGCGTCATGACGTCGCCTATGATTTTTAGCAGAGATGGTTACGTTATCTTCTCCGCCACGAAACCTGCGATGAAAATGAAATTCTGGCACATTCACTCCATGGAGCGTCTGAAGCGGGAGTTGATACGGTGGCTAGATGGAGACATTGCGGAGGGGGGGGGGGGGGAATTCGAAGGATCCAGCGAAAACGAACAACAACCTCACATGCGACAGGAAGACCTAATGTGTGGTTGGAGGAAGTCAAAACAGACAGTGATGTAATGTTGATGATGCATGGGTCAGATGAAATTGTGTTAACAGTTGTAATTTCCTAGATTGAATATCGTTAATTATTGTTGTACGCGTTTTATTAATTGTAGCAAAATCTGTTAACGGAAAACCCAAATGTTTACAACACAATTATGAAAAGATTTTATGTATTACAATATTTATGTGGTCGAGCCAGACGCCCGATTCGGACAGTTTTTGCGATTGTGTCTGACCTGACGGCATAAACCACACTTTCTTTCCAACCTGTCAAGATCGTCCATTTCTGTTGTGATGCGCCTACTTTTGGGACGACCCTTCTTGTTCCTTCGCATTTGGTCATTGTGCCAAACTATTTCGCCGTCGTATTCAGGCCAATAATCTGGTTTTGCCACCAAAGGAAAGTTGTTGTTGTAAACATTGAGCAACATTTCAGATTTGTAAACGTTTGACAGCAATTGAAGCGTGTCTTGATGGGTATGAGCACAAGCGGCAATGACATGAGAGCAAGGCATACGAAATGCTTGAAACTTGCCACAATCGCACCATTGAGAAGGTAAAATGACCCTGTATTCTTGTCTTGGCAGGCCTTCATTGTGGTCGATTGTCTCTTTCACAATGAAGTTGTGGTTGTGTCGGTCAAACCGTATAACCATGTGAGTGTTGGCTTTAGCACTTTCAGCCTTAATGTATTTCATGCAGCTTTCACTCCATAGTTGTCCAGATTGCAACACCGTATTCCACATTTCACCTCTTTTTGCAAATAACGCAGCCATCCTAAAATACGTAGATTTTACCAAGGCAGTGATTGGGAGGTTTCGTATGCCCTTGAATACCCCATTCATTGATTCAATAAGATCCGTTGTCATATGCCCCCATCTTTGGCCATTGTCGTATGACCTAGTCCATTTTTCCACCAGAATATTGTCGATCCACCTACCGACTTCCGGATTAGACAAACGGATCTCATTGCGGTAATATTTGAATGTGGGTTGTGTCAATGCATATCCCGCATTCATAACCGCTTTCCTCAATGTTTTGTCCTTGACCTCCCTCGAGAAATTCTGGACGATATGCCTAACGCAATAGACATGCGTAGAAGGAGGGTCATGCCAACCATTTGCTGGATTATTGTAGGCACTTTCAATGGAGGCATGTCTGTCCGAGATCAAACAGAGATCTGGTTGAGGAGCCACGTGTGTCCGAAGATTTTTCAGGAAAAAGCTCCAAGCACCACCGGTCTCCCCCTCGACAAGGGCAAACGCAATGGGGAAAATGTTATTATTGCCATCTTGTGCAACTGCCATCAATAGTGTGCCTTTGTACTTCCCATACAACCAAGTCCCATCAATTTGTAAAATTGGTTTGCATGATGCAAACCTTGTGATGCATGGTTGAAATGCCCAAAACACGCGACTGAATATTTTGTTGCCATGCAGTAGACTACCATCTTAGGCGTACGCTGGCAATGTTTCCAAAACGTAAACACTATCTGGAGAATACGTCTTGAGTGCATTCAGGTAGCGGGGAAGTTCTCGGTATGACTCCTCCCAGTTTCCGTACACCCTTTCAATTGCCTTAGTCTTTGCTAACCACGCCTTACGGTAAGACGGAGTGTAGTTAAAAACCGTGGTGATGTGGGAGATGATTGTTTTCACCTTCAAAGATGGGTCGTTACTGACCAGGGGTAGGATTTCTTGACAGATTAGATCATAGTTAAGTTTTCAGTGGTCCTGTGATTGAGTGGAACTTACACAAGTGTGGGTAGTCATGGAACCTATGACCCAACAGTCACTCCTTAATCTGTATGATGCGGTCAGCTTGAACATACAGTCAGGGTGGACACACTTGATCTTGTACCTTTCCAGGTTGACACGATCCACCTTAAAATCAACCGAGTTGAGCATGTGAAATTTTTTAATGGCCCTGATGCATTCCTCTCTATTACGAAACTTGTCCTTCTCTTTTAAATTTTCATCCGACTGCATATACGGATTGAAAAATAAGTCAGTAGAAGGTTCATCTCCGCCCATGTTGAAGTTTGTCATGTGCGGAGGTGGTGTGTAGATTTTGTCTGTAGGAATACTAGGGATGCCATCATCGTCGGAATCATTGTTCACCATTTCATCAAACTCTAACTCGTTATCTTCTTCTTCATCATCAACTGCATCTACCTCATCTTGTTCATTCTCCAAAGGATCAACCTCCTGTGTCACCTGAGGCTCTTGAAGCAAAACGTACAACTCAATAGAGTCGTATCCAGAATAGACATGGCTGGAAATCATATTCTGGAGATCCTCGTCATCTTGAACTTCAACCTTATAAAAAATTACTTGGTTGTTTCCAAAGAAAACTGGATTCTGATAAAATATCTGGGACACCGGGCCTCGTTCAAGTTTGGCCTCCAATCTTTTTTTGAAGTACGAGAAA